GCCCGCCCCTTGGTCGCGCCCGCTCCGCCACACCGCGAACCAGCGCAGCAGCCCGCGGATCGAGGTGCGGTCCACACCTGTGCATGTGCGGGCCACGTCGTGGACACGCCCCGCAGAGAGCCGCCGATCGAGGCGCGGTGCGTGCTCCCTCTGCGGCGGGCGGCGCGGGCGGCGTCTGCCCCTCCTCCCCCCTGCCGACGCCTCCGCCTGCGGCAGCGGTGGTGGAGGAGAGGGTGAGGAGGGAGGCAGCAGTGTGTGCGTTGCGAGCGTGCGCGCGCGCGCGCGCGCGCGTGTGTGTGTGTGTGTGTGTGTGTGTGTGTGTGTGTGGCCTGCGGCCGCCGCCGCGCCGACGTCGCTGCCCGAGAGGACGAGAGTGGGCGTGGCGAGGGCGGCGAGCAGCGGCCGGTAGTCCTGCCGCCAAGTGCCGGCGACGAAGGAGAAGACGGCGTGCCTATGGACATGTCCCTCACGAGACATGTCTCGGACATGTCCGAGACATGTCCGGACATGTCTCGGACAAGGAGAAAACGGCGTGCCGCGTGGCCGCGTCGGCGGCGCCCGCCGCGCACACGTCGAGGTAGTCGTCGTCGACCTGTTCACGGCTGCAGCTGTGAAGAGACGCCGTTCACGGCCGCGCGGCGACGGCTCCTCGGCCGGCGACGAGGGCAGGGTCGGCGAAGAGGTTCTTCTTGGAGAAGGAGGCGAGGAAGGGCTTTCGGCGCGCGAAGCGGAAGAGCGCCGCGCCGACGGGTGACCCGACGATCCGCCACACCTGCGAACAAGCGTGTCCGGCGCCGGGTGACGCCTCGTGTGTGAGTGTTTTGCGGCCGGTGCGAGCGAGCCATTCCCCACGCCTTTGCGATCGCCTCGGGAGACTTGTCGAGGGAGAGCGCCTATGGACATGTCCCGGACATGTCTCGGACACGTCTCGGACATGTCTCGGACATGTCTCCTCTCCGAGCTTGTCGAGGGAGAGCGCCTCGACGGCGGGAGGGCCGAGCAGCACCACGCCTGACCCGACAGGAGACATGTCTCGGACATGTCTCGGACATGTCTCGGACATGTCTCGGGAGGGCCGAGCAGCACCACGCCTGACCCGACAGGGCATCCTCTTGCAGCCGCCGCGTGAGAGGCGACAGCGCTGCACTGCTGACGGCAAGAGAGGCGAGAGGCGAGGTGTGTGTATGTGCGGCAGAGGCGACGCGAGTCGTGTGTACGTGCGGCACGGCCACAGAGGCGAGAGGCGCTCGATGCCTTTGACGGCCTCTGGGTCGAGCGCCGCAGCCTCGAGCGCGACGGTGCAGAGGTTGCTCTGCCCGACGACGACGCACGGCTCGCCCACCTCCTCGGTGATGTACGCGACGACCTGCTCCGCCCACTCGCGCGGCGTGCGAGGCGGCTCCTCCCAACCGCCGAGCAGCCGCCTCTTCATGCGCGGCTTCGGGCTGGAGTCGCCCATGCCGATGACGTCGATCGCGTGCAGCGTGGCGCTGGGCGAGGCGACCGCCCACGCTTCGAGGAGGCGGCCGCAAAATGTCCGGTCGATCCCGACGCCAATCGGAGGAAGCAGCACGACTGGCGGCAGTGCTGGCGAGGCGGCCGACGCGGGCACGACGGAGCTCGTGTAGGTGAAGCCATTGTAATTGAGCAGCCGAGTACGGATCACGTCGATGGGGAGAGCTGGGCTCACCGCCGAGGTGGTGGCGGCGAGAAGAGCCGACGCGAGTGTGTGCAGAGGCATTTCACCTGAGCCGACGCCGACCCGGAAAGTGCGGCAAAAAAATAGCACGCGCGCGCGGGCCGGAGGGCCGTGGCCGGAGGGCCCCGGGGGGGGCTTGGAGTCAGTTGTCGGAGGAGGTGAGAGATGAGCTAACGCGGCCTCTGAGAGTGGAGTCGGGGCGTACGGGCTCACCGGGGGAAGACCAGCTGCAGGGGCAACCGGACCACCGCGACCTTCGACAGACAGGGAGGGCCACGCCTCCCCGAACCTGGAGAGGAGCCGGCGGAGGGGGGGGGCGAGCCAAGGACTATAGAGAGGCCGCGGGTGCGGGCACGACTCGCTGACCAGGGAGAGCGGGCTCGACCTCCCTGGGAGGGGAGGCGACACGACCCAATGCCGCCGTCCTCGCCCGGGGAGACCTCGGCCGGGCCATTGAAGCCCTCGGAAGCGGTGGAGCCGGGAGAAGCTGGCGGAGATGAAGGGCGGCAGCGGAGGAAGCGACACCAACAACGAGGGAAACGGCCACACCGGCCGTCGCATGACGCTCGTGAGACGAGCAAGAGAACGAACCAAGGGGACCGTGCTCGCGTCGGGATCCTCCACTGCAATCAGCTTGATCTGGACGGCGTCGAAATCTATGGAGCGCAAGACGGTTTCCGATGCTCCCTCGACGTCGACAGACAGGAAGTCAATGTAGGTGATGCCATGCTCTCGGAACAGCCAACAGCGTCGAGAAGGCCACCACCGGCAGCTCGTATCGCTTGGCCTGCACATTAAATCGCCTCGCGAACCGGTGGATGACGGTAACATTCTCGAGTTTTGGGGAGTCGGCAAGGCCGCTCAGGCCAGTCTCCCAGTCGTTCTCCATTGACAGGCGGTTATGCTTCTCCGCGGACGACCAAGGCATTGGCATTGGTGCAGTTGGGCCGGTTGAGCTTGAGCCGCTCGTAGACCTTTGGGTTCGCCTCTACGCAAAGGCCACGCCACCCCAGAAAGCGCTCGAAGAAGTAGGTGTTGCTCATATGCAGCCCATCATTCGCACCTATCTCGACAAACGTCCCCTTGTCAACCAGATCAAGCGGCGCGGCACAGGGGCAGCCAGCCGACCAAGTGCTGCATGGAAAGCTGAGCATGTTTGGCGCCCGCCCGCCATACAAATGGAAGACGAGCTGGTCGAGTGGATCGCGGGTTATCGAGTTGAAGTGGCACTTTGGCCATGTGCGGTAGCCTCGCTGGTCCACAAAGTGGCGGTGATCCGGTGGGAATGAGGGCGGCTTATACGCGGCGCTTTGTGCAGCCAGGAATAGCACCCAGCAGACAGCTCGGGACATGCGAAATTCGCAGACGACGTCGGGGTTCGTGCACGCCTGAGCGTTCCACTACACAAGTACCTTCTACCAGAGCGACACACTACCACAGAGCCTTCTATCGTGATCCTCCGAGAATTTAAGATAATTTGTGAAATTTTAGGAATTTCTAGGGGAAAAGGGGAACGGGAGCGGGGGGTGCATCGCGACACGGAGAGAGGGGCTGGGCAACCCACACGACAGGGAGGGATTCCTCTCTCGTACAGGACAACCGTCGGGCCTGTGGCCGGCTCAATTCCGGCACGGCCCCCCGAACGCAGCGCTGTCAGCCCACGTCTCGGGACCAGACCCGAGCACGATTTCTTTTGCGTAGTTTACGACCTGCATGCAGTGTGTCCCGTGTCGCGGCCCTCTCTCTCTATAGCTCTAGCCGCTTCGGAGAGATGCCTTAGCATGGTGAATCCGATGCAGGGCGGCGCGCACCGCGGCGCACCACACCGGCCGCGTGGGGTGCTGTACCTCCTTGCGGACGATCTGAGGCCCGAGTTCGGCTTCACGACGCGAGGCAAAATGCTGACGCCAAACATTGACGGTCTCGTGGCGCAGGCTGCCGTCTTCAGCCGCGCCTACTGCCAGGTCGCGCTGTGCATCCCGAGCCGCGCTAGCTTCCTCACGGGCCGTCGTCCACGCGCACACTGGGGCGAGGCGAGCGCTAAGGACGTGCTCCGCTCGCAACCCACGATCGTCAGCACGCTGCGCGATGCGGGTTACAATACAGCAGGAATTGGAAAGATCAGCCACTTTGGCGAGAGCGGGCTGGGCTACACGCTGCCGTTTCCGACACACTCAGCGCCACTCCTGGAGCGCACGTGCTTCACTCGCAGCGACGCCAAGAATGTGCGGAGATTGCGATATGCCATCTCCGCAAAGATCGACTATTATTCGACGATGGCGACGTGCGATCTGCCGTGGGGCGGCTTTCCCGATCAGCGCGTCGTCAACGGCGCGACACTGTACCTAAAGAAGCTTGCCGCGTGCAGGGGCGCGCACAGCTTGCCGCAGACTCAACGCGAGCTATGTCGCGGTTGGGGGATCCAGGTGGGCGCGCCCTTCTTGGTGATGGTTGGCTTCATGCGCCCGCACAATCCGATCCACTATCCGCCGGCCTTCCTCGACATGCAGCCCAAAGCGTCAACGAGGCCTGAGGAGCGTGTCGCGGGTGCGCCGTTCGAATACCACATTGCGCGGCCGCCGACGTCCCTAGGCGGCCCCGTCAAGGAGCAAGACACACTCGATGAGATGCGGAGGCACTATCGTGGGGCGGTCAGCTATGTCGACCATCTCATCGGTGTGCTGCTGTCGAATCTGCGAAAGCAACACCTGTGGAACGACACGATCGTCGTCCTGCACAGCGACCACAGCTTCTCGCTCGGCGAGAATGCAGCCTGGCAGAAGCTCACCGCCTTTGAGCACGCGTTGCGGGTGCCACTGATCATGCGCGTGCCCTGGATGCCTAAGGCCCGTGGACGCCGCGTGGATGATGTCGTCGAGCTGATCGACGTGATGCCGACACTGCTCGACGCGCTTGGCGTACAGCCCTCTGCGCGCTCACCGTCGGCCTCGCCCGCGCCAACGCTCGACGGGAAGACGCTGCTGCCGCTGATGCGGGGCCAGGCGCGGGCGTGCCGCGAGCCGCTTCGCGCCTACTCCCAAGCCTTCCATTCCGGCCGGATGGCGTACAGCGTGCGAACGGAGCACTATCGGTACACGCGCTGGGTGGAGTGGGCGCCGGCAGAGGACTGGTGGAGGGCTGCCTCCAAGCCAGCACTGAGCTGTGAGCTGTTCAACCATACGACAGACCGCTCCGACACAGTGAGCGGCGCCTTCGAGGCGCATAATCTCGCCTCGGGGGGCTCGGCGAGTCGATCGGAGGAGGTGGAGCGCGTCGCCGCGTTCCTCGATGCGCAGCTGCAAGGGCTCTCGCGACGTCGAGGCGCGCTCAGAAGCTGTGAGAATAGATCATGGAATAGATAGACTCCTTTACGGGTTCTGTACAGCGTATGCCGACGCATGTGACTAAAGTACACTGTGTGCCTGTTCACCTATACAATTACAAACTTTATTCGGCATTGTCCGTTCTAAGTATAAGTATAAGATTAAAGACAGTCGCACAATGCGTAACCAACAGCGGCATGGCCAGCTGAAGTTGCCCCCCCGGCATTGTCCACAACTGCTGTAAAATCTTTCCATCCTCGGCTCCCTGTCAGTCCGATCCAGGTTTCCACACACGAGAGCTACAAAAAGACGTACATGCAGGTATCGGCTCTCTCCCCTGAGCCCAGTGCCCTCTTAAGACCGTTTCTCTCTCTCAGATATGTCTACAGCGTGTCCTCCGTGAGAGCGGCACGGCCTCTCGCGTTAGTCGCACGCATCTCTCTGCAGCCCCCAGCCCCCCGCCTCGTTCGATCTCAGGCGTCGAGCGCCCCGCCGTCGCCGAGGGGCCGCAGCCGGAGCTCCGCAGTCAGGTAGTGCTTGCAGTCGCGAGAGAGCGTGCACTGAATGTAGAGCATCGCGAGTCCGACCGCGAGGAGCGGCAAGAAGGGCAGGATGTCCCACGCCGACCGCGTCACAGCCACCTGGCATGCGAGCGAGAGCAGCGCGCTGAAGACGGTGACGTAGGTTGCGAGGTCGACGGCCGCGCGGGCCGTGCTCAACGCGTTGACGTACCACAGCCGCGCCTCGAGCGAGGGCATCCAGTAGGAAATTTGCGAGTAGAGGTGGATGGAGCCAAGCAGGATGGCGACCGACGCCATCAGGATGCACACAAAGTCGGCGACGCACGAGGTCAGGTCGGCCACCTCCTCGAGGCCCCAGCCGCTCGCCGGCCCGGCGGCGACAAGGCGCTGCAACGCCTCCCCCTCTTCGTAGGCGAACTCGTACATGGTGGAGAAGATGAGAGCGGCGACGACGGCGGACGAGACGATGCCCTTGATCGCCGAGTCGACCAGCCGCTGCGTCGCCTCATGGCTGCTTGATGCGTCACTGTCGGAGAGGATGTTGGCCTCGGAGAGGAGCAGCGCCGCCGGGCCGCAGCCGCCGAGCGCACCAACCGGGTCCTTGGCATGATGCGCGCTCGACATGGACGCGCGCGCCTCCGGGGCGATGGAGGCGAGCGAACTGCCTGCGGTGCCGCCGCCCTTCCCCTTCCACGGCTTAGCCGACAGCTGCTTGTTGAGGTAGCTCTTACAGGCGGGTGAGGGGGTGTGCGTGGCGTACAGCACCGCGAGCGCGCCACCGAGGAGGGGGAGGCACGGGATGAGATCCCACGCGGTGCCGGTCACCGCGCACTCGCACGCGAGCGTCACCAGCGCGCAGAGCACTGTGGTGTTCTTGGCGAAAGTGACCATCCCCCAGGCCTTGCTCGACATGCCCACATACCAGAGCCGCGCCTGGAGCGTCGGTCGGCATCCAGATGGAGAGGTGGGTGTACATGGTCGAGCATCGTCCATCGACCGAGTTCGAGCCATGCAGCGTGCTCGCAGTGCCGCTCGCAACGTCATGGGGTGTTCATGGCGCATGCGGAATCGACCCTATCCAGTGCTCTAGTGCTTAGGTAGGTAGGTAGAAAGGTGAAGAACAGCCAGGCTCGGACTGGACACCAACGCGGTATGGGTGGACGCGGGACAGATGATGACGACACGCACGAGCGACACACAGACACAAACAAGCTCACAAGACACACAGCCAGCTGGCTGCCACACACCCTGAGTTGGCGTACACATAACTCAGGGCCACATTCTTCCTGTCGCCCCCCCCAGCACTCCAAGGTGCCAAGAGAAACAAACAAGGGCACAACATCACAACAGACGACAGGAGGTAATATGCGAGGCTAGAGCAGGCTTGCTCGTCCTCTAGCAATCTCCTCCGACCGCGAGGCCGGACTAGACCGTGTGTGGGGTCATGTGAGGTGTCTCTGGTCACTCTCCTCAGGGGCTAGCCGCCAGCGGCCAGCCCTATCTCGCACTCACAGGCAATGACAATCCAATGTATGAGTGTATGCAAGCAGAGGCGCGTGTGCTGATTCTAGATCGCACGCCGTGGCATATGACTTGGGAGGCGTGCGACCGCAGCGCGCCCGCCGTCAGCTCGACGGTGCGCGCATGTCAGCTAGAGGTTTGCCGGTAGAGCGATCCCGGTCTTTTCGAGCGCGAGCCTCGCGCCACGGTTGCCAGCCGTGCCTTCGCGAGAGTCGCCCTCGAGCCGCGTCCCGTCGGCACTACCCTCGAGTGCGTGTCGCTTTGGTTGGCGACACCCACTCGTCGAGGGCAGTCCGGCCGACGGGAGCGCCGGCGACGAATGCGGCGCGTATCTGTGCCTTCGAAGCGACGATGGCACGACCACCGCCCTGCTTCCTGACCGGGCAAGGAGGGGCCTACTCCCGTTCCGCGAGGAACAGGAGGTTTCCCCCCCTCCCCCGGCCTGAGCAGCGACGGGTGGACGGCAGCCCCTTCGAGGTTAGCAGGCGAGAGTCTACGCGGGGCTCACGAGCCGAGTCTCAGCCACACGCCCCCCGCGCCTGTACTCCACCAAGTCAAGGTGAAAAGATCTTATCAGCGAGGCGGGGTCAGGGAAGAGGGCCCTCGGGTTACGCCTCGCCCGGCCCCCTCCGAGGGGGGAAGGGGAAAGAGCGGGTCCTCGGGGTACGCCTCCTCCGGCCCCCTCCGAGGGGGGAAGGGAATTGCAGTCTTCTGTCCATCTACAGCGTGGGTGGTGGTACGCTGCTTCGAGACAGCTCCGCCTCGCCACCTTGCCTTGTTCCTCTCCTGGAATACTTACCAATACCCGACGCGGAATACAATACGTAATTAATTAATGAATTAACGAATGAGGTTAGGACGTGGAATACTGTACTCGAGGTCAACTCATATTCCTCCAGGTTACCCAAGATGAATAACTAAAATCGAGCCGCGTAGTGGGGAGGGGGGGTGCGGTGGCCCCTCGAAACCTCTCGACCATACATGCTGCAGCCACCCTGCACGCTCACCGTCCCGGCGTCCCGCGGCGCGCTCCACGCCGCCGTGGAGCGCGTGGCGTCGCAGCTCTCCTCCGCTGCCTCTGCGGCGGACGTGGTCGTCTGCCTCAAGGGCGGTGTGCACCAACTCCCAGTGCCGCTGGCCCTTGGGCCACAACACAATCATCCCTCCGGCCGGCGCGTAATCTGGCGCGGCGCGGCGCTGCCCTCCGCACCGACCACCCTCTCTGCCGGCGCGCCGCTGCTGCGTTGGGTGCGGTGCTCGCACCTCGACCCGGCCACGCCTCCAGAGTGCGCGGGGCCCGAGTGGGACGGCGTCTGGGCCCACGCCGCGGACGACGTGCCGCACGTCACGCGGGCCGCGCTGCCGTTCCGCCAGCTGTGGGTGGGCGCGGCCAGACCCTAGATGCCACGTGCGATGCGGGTGCGCCGGCTCACATTGTGGCTCTTATACCGTGCGGGTCGCCAAGAGCGTGCGGGTGGCGTGCGGTGCGGGTGGCTTGGCTCACACGCCGGCTCGGCTCTTGTACCAAGGTATCCCCGCACTCCAACCCGCGCTCATTCCTGCGCGTGTCGAGACGCGCTGCTCACGCAAAGACCCGACCCCTGTCGTCGCACCTCTAGGCGGCCTGCGCGCACCCCGCGCCACCGCCCGCACCGAAGCGTGGAACCTCTCGACCACCGCCGAGGGATACTCTGCGCGCGGGGTGGTGCCGGGCCTCGAGTGGGCCGCGGCGGAGCTGCGTTGGCCGTCGCAGGTGCAGAACTGGATCGAGCCGCGCTGCGCGGTCGATCGCGTCGCTGGGAGGCGCGTCATCGTCTCGCGGCCTTGCTGGGCTGCGCTCACTGCGCGCAAGGGCGGGCCGCCGCCCGCGCCTCTCCTCGTCGAGAACCTGCTCCGCCCGCCGCCCGCCGGCAAGCTGCAGCGAGGTGCTATGTCTGTTCCCAGAGCTTTCACGGACGCCTCTCGGAGCCTTCCCGCAGGCCAGTTCGCGTGCAGCGACCGCCACGTCTTTTACCGCCCGCGCGAGCCGTACGGAGGGCCTCCCCGCGACGCGTGGGCGCCGCTGCACGAGGCGATCCTCCAGGCCGAGGGGCTTGCGAACCACTCCTTCCAGCGGCTGGCCTTCTCGCACGCGACGTGGCGGCAGCCCTCGACACCAGAGGGGTACGTCCCGACGCAGAGCCTCGTCACGCCGCTCGGAGAGCCTCCCGGCGCCGTCTCACTCGGACGCGCGCGCGGCGTGGCGGTCGACGGCTGCTCCTTCGCCAACTTGGGCAGCGCGTACGCCCTGTCGGTCGGAGGCGCGAGCCAGCAGGTGTCCGTGGTGGGGAGCAGCTTCACGTCGCTCGCGGGAGGGGCGGTCAAGCTGGGGAACGTCGACGACGAGCGGGCCCTCGCGACCAGCCCGGAGCGGATGGACTCTGCGTTTCGGGTCGTGGACAACACCATCAGGTTAGCCGCGCTCGAGCTGCGCGGTGCCGCCGCCATCTTCGCGGGGTACGTCCGCGACACGACCATCTCGCACAACAGCGTCGCCGAGACGGGGTACACCGCCATCTCGCTCGGCTGGGGGTGGGGCACGCACGTGCTTGGCCGCCAGACCTTCATGCGGAACAACCACGTGGTCTCCAACCGGATGGAGCGTGTGGTGTCGGCTCTGAACGACGGCGGGTGCATCTACACGCTCGGCCCTCAGCCAAACTCGACCGTGTCGCTCAACTACTGCGAGGCCGACCGCGCACCCGTGGTTGGCAGTTTCTACCACGACAATGGCCCGTGCCCCCCCGCCTCCGCCACGTCGCGCCGGGGCCCCTGGCGATCATTCACTCGTCGGCAATTGTGGTAGGATCGCGCTACTTCCGCACGACACGCAACGTCGCCTCCAACTCGCCCGCGCCCTGCGTCTACCTGCAGGGCTGCTGCGGCGCACCCGCACTCGACGCGCGCCGGACCGCCCCGCGCGCCAGAGCCGGGGAAGGCAGCACTGACGGCCCTTCCCCTCGTGGTCCAGGTGGCCGTGTCGCTCGTCTGGTGCCGCGGCGAGGCGCCGCTGCGCAACAACTGCGCACCGGCCGAGGCCAACTGCTCGCTGGCCTACCCCGGCCTCGCCGCGGACTGCCACTGCGCCGTCGACAAGGCGACAGTGGTGAGCGTGCCAGCGCACGAGGCCTCGACATCGCCGCCAGAGGGAGGTGGGGGCACGGACCGCGTTTCACGGGATCGCCGTCGTCGGGTGATAGGCGTGGCCAGCCGAGGCGCAGGCGGTCGTCGACGCGGCGGGCGCGAGGGGCAGAGGAGTAGGCCTGGGAGGACTTGGAAAGACGCGCGTGGGACTTGCCCAGTATGATTTTTTTTTGGCGTGACACAACTATCTTGTTACTTCTAAAGTATACGTAAGATGTCACGACCTCTCACACGTGTATCATAGTCTCCGAGTGTATCAGAACGAGAAGGGAGCGTGTGGGGTAGTGGAATGACGCCATGTGAACGGCGGCTTGCAGAGGGGCATCGCACGACCACAGAGAGTGGACGTGTCCCATTTGGTAGAGGGTCTCCTCATGATCATACGGCTCTAGGGCCGCCGCGATCATAGGACACGCCCTTACCAGGAGCAGTCCCCCTCAGGCGTCCTCTCTATCCACGCCTCGCGTGCTCACGCTCCCGCTCTCTCGCGAAAACCCCGCCACCAACCCCTCTCTGCCTGTCTGCCCCCTGAATAGTTAGTGAGGTCCACATGCCCAACCACCTACCTCTGTAGGGCGGGGGGGGAGGGGGGGGGAGGCAGCCGGGGGAATAAGCAGCGCGCCTTCTTGGCAGCCGCTCGCCCCCGACTCCATGTGTGCCATTGCTGAAGAATTTCAGCCCTGTCCCAAAAGCAAAATCAGACGGTGGGTTCGAGTCCCAGCTACCCCCGGGTACGGCTGTGATTGGACGCCTTCCAACCGACCCCTCCCAGCCAACTGAGCTCAGGATTAGCCGAGCTGGCCCTAGAGCCAAAACACGTGATTCACCTCTAGAGCTCGCTCTCGCCTCCTCGGAGCCTCAGCCAAAATCTGTCGCTCCAGCGCCGTCGTCCGGGCCCACGGCCGGCTCGCCATCTCGATTTCCACTCGCCCGATGCGCTCGGTCTCTGCTGACGGCTGCCGCAAGAGCGGCTGGCTCACGACAGCGTCTTGCCGGTTGTCGGATGGGAGAGTACGGGACGTCTGGAGTGTAACTGTGTACGTGAGATCGGTCTTGGTAACAAGCACAGTCGGTCTATCGATGCACTCGTTTCCGTTGCCCTTCGAGCTTGACACAGAGCTCAGCGCGCCCCGCAAAACAGGAAGAGCCGTCCGGCAAGAAGATCTCGATAGGGAGCGAGAACCGTTAGAGGTGCTCCGAGAGGTATCAAGACTCCGTCATGACGCGGTAAGATCACTCCAAAAATGACCGCGCAGATGTCGGATCTCGTTGAGATATCTTGCAAAATCTGCTCTTCCCGAGCCGGCAGCACGCAGAGAGTCGCAGAAAGGCTACGAGTGCTCGACGAGTTTTGAGACCTGCGCGGTCAAACCTGGGGGGAACTGACCGCACCAGGACGGACGTCCGAAACCTGCGTGAGCACCTTTGACGATTCTCGCTCCCTATCGAGCTCTTCTTGCAGCGCGGCTCTTCCTGTTTTGCCGGCACAGAGTTCCGTGCAAGCCGTCCAGCGTGACGTGACGAGTATATCGCTTCGACGGATCGACCGTGCTTGTTATCAAGACTGATATGACGTACACAGTGACACATCAGACGACACATATTCTCTCAGCCGGCGGGCCGCAAAACGCTCTCGACAAGAGCCACACAAAGCCACCCGCGCGGCAAGCCGCTCGTCGGACAGGCGTGCTCGATCGATGTCGGAGAGCCAAGGACAAGCCCGGAGGGCAGCCACGCAGAGTGGCGCCACTTCTCGAGCGTCGGCTTGCGCCGGAGCGCCGCAGCCAACCGTGCAGCGAGCGAGTCGGACAGACCCCGCTAATCCGCCTCCAGGGTTGACTGGGCACCGACCCTACCGAGCCGAGAGAGGTCGCCGAGCGGCTGCGGCGGAGCTTCGAATCAGAGAGGTTGGTGCTCCATTCTGTTTCTCTCGAGTTTCCCTCGGGAAACTCGCGAGTTTCCCTGAGTCTGAGAGCTGGTCTGGGGCAAAATCTGGGGCAAAATTGAGGAAATCGGCACGATCCCTAGGTATTTTCCAGGTATACCGGGGTTTTCCAGGTATACCCGCAAAATACCCGGTATTTAAGAAAGAAAGAAAGAAAACAGACAGGCCAAACGAGGGATGGGACGAGGACAGGGTCCCCACCTGCACGAGCAGGATTTTGGAAGGACGATCAGGGGGACAGGTGGGGCTCTCCTGCTCCTAAAAACGGTATTTTGCCGATTTTGGCTGACCGCCGCTATTCTTTTTCCAGACAGGGAGTGCCGGGGTGGGCGTCGTAAGGGTGAGGGCGATTGCCGCCCTCCCCCCTTCGCCCACCTCGACGCCTTCGTGTAGGCACCCCCGCGACTGTGCCTCTTTTGGTACCGTGGCGTACCTGTGTCGAACCTGTGTGCTAAAGAAAGAAAGAAAGAAAACACACAACCCAAGGGAGGGATGGGAGAACGGCACGCCGCCACCACACAGGGATTTTAAGGAGAGGAGGGTGTGATGCGCTAGCCGTCGCCCACCCTGGGGGGTCTGCCTCCTCGTATCTCTTTTCGCAGTCTCTCGCCGCTTCTCGCTGCAACCTTCATGCCACCTCGCGGCTGTCCCACTCTCGTCGTTCTCTCCCTTGTCACTTCCCCCTTTGTCGCGTCGTTCTCTTCTGCCTCGTCCTGCGACGCCGCCGCCTGCCGGTCCCAACCTGTGTGCTGTGAGAGAGAGTTCTGCTTGCTGAATTCTTTTTCCAGAAGCCCGATGAGCTCTCTTCGCGGTTCGGCGGCGTCGGACGGGAGCGCAGACGTGTCGTGCCGGACAGAAGAGGCTGGCGACTCTACGACGCTGCTCTACTCGGTCATTCGACTCATCTTTCGCGCCACCGGCTTCGTCTTCTACGCCACGACAGAGTGCCATGGCGTCGAGGACTTTCCGGCGGCCGGCGAGCCGACGCTGCTCTGCTTCAACCACGGCAACGGGCTGGCCGACCCGCTCTGCCTCATCAAGGCGACGCCACGGATGGTGCGCTTCTGCGCAAAGGACACGCTCTGGAAGGTGCCCATCATGGGAACCCTTATCCGCAACTCCGGTGCCGTCCCAATCTACCGGCAGCGCGAGCACGGCGACCAGGCAAAGGACCGGAATCTGGAGGTGTTCCGAACGGTGATCGAGGTGCTGCGGGCGGGAGGATGCCTCGGCTTCGCGCCCGAGGGCGTCTCGCGCTTCCTGCCCTACATGGAGCAGCCGTTCAAGACCGGAGTCGCCAGGCGAGGGCCGGCCGCTGCGAACGCTGCCCGCCCCTGGCCGGCGACTCAGCCCCTGCGCTTGGCCTTGGGCTCCCGGGCAATCTCCCAGCCGCTCCCGCCCCCTCCCCTCGTTCAGCGAGCCGCCGTCAGAGCCCTCCTCTCTCCCGCTCCCCCTCCTCGCCGCTCCTGCCCGCCGCCCCACTGCCCCTTTCTGCTGCCCCTTTCCACTGGGCGGGCGCTCTGCCCGCGCGTGCCCCGTTTGCCTCAGCGCCGCGTGCCGTCCCTCTCGCCCGCAGGATCGCGCTCGAGGCGGTCCGACAGTCTTCTGAGGCGGGAGACGCGGACTTCAAGGTGGTGGACCGCACCGCCCCTGCGCTTTGACCTCTCGTCTCCCCCGTGTCCCCCTTCACCTCCCCCCCCCCCCCCCCACACCTGTCCTCCTCCATCCCCTCCTCCTCCCCCTTTCCCCCGTCCTCCTCGCCTCCTCCTCCCCCGCCCCTCGGGCATCTCGGGTGATCTCGTCCCGCATCGCCATCTCACCGCCCGCCCCCCCTCCCCCGGCTCATCCCGTGCTAACTCGGATGAGCCCCCCATAACATCGTGCTCACCTCTAGCGATCGCAGCCGAGCACCTCTAGCGATCGCAGCCGAGCCCCCCCCCCGTGCAGGTGAACGTCGTCCCGGTCGGCCTCGCCTTCACGCACCGCGAGAAGTTCCGCTCCGACCTGTGCATGTCGTACTGCAAGCCCATCGTCGTGGACGCGGCGTACGCGGCGCGGTTCGGCGACTCGTTCGAGGCCGCCAAGGCGCTCCCCCGGCAGCCTCCCGGCCTACGGCAGCCTCTCGGCCTACGGCAGCCTCCCGGCCTACGGCAGCCTCTCGGCCTACGGCAGCCTCTCGGCCTAGAGGAGGAAGCTCGCACCCTTCTGACGCACGAGACTCTCCGTGGCAGGCCCTCACCTGCCGTCTCTCGGCCGACCTCGAGGCGGTCACCATCAACGCGCCCGACTGGGGTGTCATCCGGTGCGGCATCACCGCGGCGCGGCTGCACCAGGCTGCCGACTCGCAGCTCACCCTCAAGCAGTACCTCTCCCTGCTGCGCGGCTGGGTCGAGGTGCTCAAGCTCGCGCCCGCAGACGCGAGCGGCGGCGGCGGCGGCGGCGGCGGCGGCGGCGGCGGCGGCGGCGGCGGCGGCGGCGGCGCGTTGGAACGAGACGCGCCAAAGGCGTCGGCGCTTGCTGCGGCGCGGCTCAAGGCGGAGCTCTCCGAGTACCAGCGGCTGCTCGACGAGAAGGGCATCAAGGACGAGCGGGTCCGGCGCGCGGCCGCCGTCGGGCAAGCGCTGCCGTGGTATTGGTGTGCGTGGGGGCTGGCACAGCGCGCAGTGTTGTGCAGCCTCCTCTTCGCCGTCGCCACTCCGGGGCTCGTGGCGTGGATGCCGGTGTGGGTCTACGTCAAGAGGCGAGAGAGGATGCTGATGGCCAAGGGACCACGGTGGAACGACTCGGTCGCGGAGACGAAGATGATGGTCTGCGCGCTCATCGTGATGGCCTTCGTGCTGGGCTGCCTCGGGTACGCTCTGCTGCACCGCTCGGCTGTGCCGCTCGCCTTCATCGCCTACCTCTACGCCACGATGCGCCTCTACGAGGAGGCGGTCGCCGACGCCCGCTCCTGCTACTCGCTCTACAAGCTCCTCTTCCTCCGCCCCTCGACCATGGCAGCCATGGTGCAGAAGCGAAAGGCCGCAAAGGCGGCCCTCGACGCCGCCTCCTTCTCGCTCCCCGACGGCGTCGCGTCCGAGGTCAAGACCACTCACGACGAGGCGCTGCCAAAGACGTCGTGGAGGCGCGCCTTCGACTTTTACTTCCCGTGGTGGCTCTCCCGCCTGCTCGTCCTGTTCATGCGCCGACGCAAGAAGGACTGGAACGAGGTGCTGCGCCTCGAGGACCACAACACGATGGACTACGTCGAGTGAAGTCGGAGGCGCCGGCGTCTCTCTGCCGCATCCACCGGACAGGGTAGCTGCCTCGGTGGCGGACAGAGTAGCTGCCTCGGTGGCGGGCAGAGTAGCTGCCTCTCGGTGGCGGGCAGTTCGTCGTGATCGCGGTTCAGGGCGCGCATGGCCATTGCTGCTGCTGCCGCATGCCGGCGCGGGGCGCGGCGGGGGGCGTAGTGTATGCTGGGTCGTTTCGTGTCCTGAACTGCCCCCCGCGTGGACTCATTTGTGCGGACTGTACTGATCTCTGACATCGGCCCGGAGGGCCGGGTAGTGGAGGGGTCTAGGTTACCTCTACCTCTGAGGGCCTGCGGCCCTCTTACCTTTACCTCTGGGCAGCCGGCGTGCCCGTGGGAAAAAAAACTCTGACATTTTACGAACTCCTTGGCGACGCGCGCGCCGCGTCGCCAAGGCTCAGCGACCTCGGTCGTACAATCGGCCGGCTGCGCGGGTTTTCGGCGAGTTTCCCGCGCACCGGCCACGACGGACCAACCAGACCAAAAATCGCGACGCTCGCGCGCAAAAATCAGCACAGAATCAACGCTCACGACGCTCTCGATGATCGCGATGATTCGAGGATTTGAGGATGGTGAGGGGTGAGGGTGAGGTGTGCCCCCCCCCTCCCCCCCCGCCCGGCCTCGAACCCGCAGCCAACCGGCCCGAAGGCGAACCTCTGACCGCTACGCCAGCCACCAATGCACAAACCTCGACGCCACAAATTTCTGAACCCCATACACCCATGCACTCAGCTCACAATCAGCACCCTACACAGTATGATTCCCGCGCGTCTCGCGCCCCAACTGACAACTCACCATTGTCCCTCGGACACCACTCTCCAGCCGCGCTACTTATGCCCACCCACCGCTCTCGCATGACATCTCGACAATCCTCATCTCTGGGCCCAGACTCCTAACCACTTCCCCTGCTCGCCCAGAGGATCGAGGTGCACGCTGCCGAAGCAGTGCCGTCCGAGGGCCCAACAGGAGAATCGTGCTTTTTGGGTTGGGTTGGGTTGTTGGGCCTGGGTTGGGTTGTTCCGCGTAAGGTTGGGTCGTCGGCGCGAAGGGTGAGGTCTCGACCGCCGCCGCGCTCACGCCAGCGGACGGCCACCATCGGTGTTTTTGGCTTCGCCACCGTCCAAAGCGTGCGCAATGCGCTCGCCGGCATCGAGCGAGCACGCCTGTCCGACGAGCGGCTTGCTGTGCGGACGCCTTCTTCTGGCTCTCGTCGAGAGCGTTTTGCGTCCCGGCGGGTGGGAGAATATGTGTCGTCTGTTGTGTCACTGTGTACGTCACATCAGTCTTGATAACAAGTACGGTCGATCCGTCAAAGCGATACACTCGTTCCTATCACAATTGTCAAAATTCCTGTTGTGCAAGAGGGGAGGGGGCTCTGACGGAGTGTGTGGCGGGTGAGGGCAGGGAATGGGCGCGGGGGAGGGGGGGGGGGGGGCTCAGCCGTGCAAAAAGCATCAATTAATAAAGTAATGAAGAAATAGGCATCCATCCGGTTAGTTGTCAAAATTCCTGTTGTGCAAGAGGGGAGGGGGCTCTGACGGAGTGTGTGGCGGGAGAGGGCAGGGGATGGGCGCGGGGGAGGGCTCACCCCGAGGCGGGCGGTATGGCTGCGGTAGTGCGTCTCCAGCCATGTCTACCAAGGATGGCAGCCGTGTGTGTGTTGCAGCCATTAGACTGGAGGATGTGGCTGCACTGCAGCTAGCTCAGCGATTAGGTAAGTAAGATGTGTCCGAGCAGGGGGCCACCGGCCAAAAGCGCATGTCTTGAAGGTCCGATACTGGAAGCCCACATAGGCACCTTACACTCACCCGCAGTATCGCACCTCTTGAGCGACACTACGTTTCCGCAGCCTGGGGATTCTCCGGCCGGGTACCCCTCTTTGTACCCGTGCTGGCCGGATTCCTCCTCCGAACAAATCAAGTTCGATCGGCCCCAGTCTCGAACAGGCAGCCACTATCTCACCGGAGGTACCATCCATGTCGAAGGTCCGATACTGACTGGAATGTATGTATGTAGAAAGATGAACAACAGTCAGGCTCGGACTGGACACCAACGCGGTATGGGTGGACGCGAGACAGATGATGACGATACTGTCACTTCGAAGCGACTGCTGCTTGGAAGTTTCCAAAGACCGTCATTTGGAAGCCGTCAGCTGCGCGAACTTTCCCGGCTTCCAAGTGACGGAAAAGCGACGGATTTGTCGGGGAGTGACGGCCGCCGCAGCCAGGCAGGCCGAAACGGAGGTAGTGGAAGCCCATATAGGCACCTACAAGATGGCTGTGAAGGAGCCAGCACCCTCTGTTGAGACACATTCCGGGGGCCCATATAGGCACCTTACACTCCCCCGCAGTATCGCACCTCTTGTTTGTGTCTTGAGCGACACTACGTTTCCGCAGCCTGGGGATTCTCCGGCCGGGTACCCCTCTTTGTACCCGTGCTGGCCGTGAAGGAGCCAGCACACCTGGCAGACGAGCTGTCGCAGTGTTGGAGCGAGCGCGTTATGGCATCGACACTCCGATGTCGAGGCCCCGAGGGCCGCCAACGGGCTCGCTCCCAGATCATCGTGATGGGCATGAGCCGCAGCGGCTCTTCACTCACGACCTCGATCATCGCGGCAATGCTCCGCAACGGTGCCTCCTGGCCGCCCCGCTCGTAAAGAGAGACGATCCGCGCACCGCTCACGGCTGCTTGCAACACCACTCCGTGGCGACCGCACACCGCGCCTGAGCCACGGCACCGCCACCAAAGCCATCTCTCGCGCCTCCGACGCGTCTTCACGTGTTGAGCGTCACGTCGCGCTCGCAGGCTCTCGCAGCGACGAGACCGCGTGGCGCGGCCTCGGGCGCGCCCTTCCCTCCGACAGCGCCAACCCGGGCGGCTACTACGAGCGAGAGGACGTGGTGAGGCTCAACTACGCCACCATCAGCAGCGTGACTGGCGCAGGGTGGACCTCCTTCCGGCCGGACCACCTGCTGAGGCGGGCGGCACTAGAAGCGGAGCCTCTCCCCACCTCTCCCCATATGCCCGCCTCAGTGAGATGGCACACACACACACTGGCCCTAGATGCGGAGCCTCTCCCCACCTCTCCCCACATGCCCGCCTCAGTGAGATGGCACACACACACACTGGCCCTAGATGCGGAGCCTCTCCCCACCTCTCCCCACATGCCCGCCTCAGTGAGATGGCACACACACACACTGGCCCTAGATGCGGAGCCTCTCCCCACCTCTCCCCATATGCCCGCCTCAGTGAGATGGCACACACACACACTGGCCCTAGATGCGGAGCCTCTCCCCACCTCTCCCCATATGCCCGCCTCAGTGAGATGGCACACTGGCCCTAGATGCGGAGCCTCTCCCCACCTCTCCCCACATGCCCGCCTCAGTGAGATGGCACACACACACACTGGCCCTAGATGCGGAGCCTCTCCCCACCTCTCCCCACATGCCCGCCTCAGTGAGATGGCACACACACACACTGGCCCTAGATGCGGAGCCTCTCCCCACCTCTCCCCACATGCCCGCCTCAGTGAGATGGCACACACACACACTGGCCCTAGATGCGGAGCCTCTCCCCACCTCTCCCCACATGCCCGCCTCAGTGAGATGGCACACACACACACTGGCACTAGATGCGGAGTCTCTCCCCGTGTCTCCCCGGATCGGCGTTCCCGAGGAGCCGTCCGAAGCCCCGCTAGATGCGGGAGACGACACCCATCTCTCCCCACATCTCCCCATCTGCCTCCCCACTCTCTCCCGCCCTAGATGCGGCATACTAGAAGGTTCCTAGAAGGTTCCTAGAAGGTTCCTAGAAGGTTCCTAGAAGGTTCCTAGAAGGTTCCTAGCAGACAGCCCTGCGTGCTCCGACCAGCACGCGAGAGGAGACTCCTTTGCATCCCGCTGTACTCTGCTCCACCCGCTGCATGTCGTGGCCTCGTATGCACGCGGTGCTGCTCTGAAGACACACACCCTGAGCCCGGGTGCCTTCACACTACAGGCTCCGTATCCCACTCGCAAACTAGGAACCTTCTAGGAACCTTCTAG